AGAGACTGGAGCACTGTTATAGGTAGAATAAGGTCCATGGGGTCACGAAGAGTCGGACACGACTAAACAACAACAACAACAAAGGTCCCATCAGAGACGGATGGTTCTAACCCAGGGGTCAGCAACCTTTTTCAGCTGTGGGCCAGTCCACCGTCCCTCAGACCATGTGGTGGGCCGGACTATATTTTGGAAAAAATAATGAATGAATTCCTATGCCCCACAAATAACCCAGAGATGTATTTTAAATAAAAGGACACATTCTACTCATGTAAAAACATGCTGATTCCCGGACCGTCCACAGGCCGGATTGAGAAGGCGATTAGGCTGCATCCGGCCCATGGGCCTTAGGTTGCCTACCCCTGTTCTAACCCATACCTTGAGATGGAGAAAGCCAGCTCCAGGGGTGATTGTTCCCTGTTGTGTCTGATCTCTTATGGGAGTGGGAATCCTTGTGTTAGACACAGGGGTCAGCAAACCTTTTCAGCAGGGGGCCGATCCACTGTCCCTCAGACCTTGCGGGGGAGCTGGACTATTTTTTGTGTGTGTATGTGGGGTGGGGGGGAGAACAAATTGCTATGCCCCACAAATAACCCAGAGATGCATTTTAAATAAAAAGACACATTCTACTCATGTAAAAAAACCCTGACTCCCGGACTGTCCATAGGATGGATTTAGACTGTCCATAGGATGGATTTAGACTGTCCATAGGATGGCTTTAGATTTGGCCCCTGGGCCTTAGTTTGCCTACCCATGTGTTAGACTGTATGCAGCCAGCTGTTCTTCCAGGGGGCATTTGGGTTTTTTTGGATTCAGAGGCAATAAGCGTGCTTTTGGGTGAAGTTCACAAGTTTTAATAGCTACATGACAAGTATAAAATGGACAGACTGAGGCAGACTAAGGAGCATTTAAGCCCTCTTCTAGTCTAATCCTTCTCAGCCTGCTTCTTTCTTTCATTCTGTCTGTTGCAATTCCTCTAACACAAGGTGTGACCCTCCAGATGTTGTTGGATTCCGACTCCCATCAGCCCCACCCAGCATGGAAGTTGTACAATATCTGGAGGGCCATAGATTTTCCAGTCACACTAAAAGGATGACAACTTTTCATGAGAATTATTTTAAAAAATGCAAATTGCTGCAGAAATGTGAAGAACTGAATTGAGGATAGGAAAAATAAGAATCAGAAAAATGGAACTTGGCAGATTCATCCACCCTTAAGCTTGAGTACACTAGTAACTTTACTAAACAAATTCTGCAGTCCTTTATTGTAATTTACAACTTCCTGTTTGCTTTTCTACCAGTCTTGACTTCCTGTGTCAATTTCCAAAGACCATCTCTTTGTCATGTCATTAGGTAAATGACTAATCACATAGCAAATTACTGAGTGCTGTTGAGTAAATGGAAAAACTCCTCTTGGGTCAATTTGGAAATGGCTCAAGCTGGCCATGTGGTTCAAAGTAACCCCTGAGATTTAGAGATTCACATTAGATACCTTCTGCGCATGCAGCCTAGGTTGTGGTTCAGTAAGAGTGTCATAGAAGGGAAAGGGATAAGATTAAAGAACTGCACATGTACATTGCACAAAGCAGCTGCTAGTTTGGGGTTCCTGGTCTGCGCAGAATTGTGTTTATATTTCCAAGAAGGAGAAGAAATGGTGCCCAATTTATAATTCAGCTGAACTTTACAAGAGTGAGAATATACTGGGCGAGCTAATGATGGATTTTGGCAAAGAGCTACTGCTATCCAGAGCAAGCATCTGACTGGCCTGACAGCTTGATTGACAGCTGTCTGATAAAAATATAAGTTGGTCACTGTTACAAATGCTACATTCCTCCATGCAGTTTAAAAATGGGGAACTGAGATCTGCAAGTGGATGCTCTTTGCAATGACTTAAATAAGTAAACAAAGCAGAGCTGGTGCCTGGTGCTGATCCAGAAAGTCAAAGCAGGAGATCTTTAGACAGAGGCATTCATTAATATGCTAAATGTATCTGCATCAAGGAGGCTGAACGCTCTGATACACAAAAAGGAGGTGGGGACCCTTTGAAAGGCTCAGCAGGGCAAAATCTTCTGGGCTACTTAATTAGATTTTAGATGAAAAGGCTGCACATTTCCCCCTAAATGAGTCACACAGGCAGGTTGAAAGGCTTCTTTGGAAAGGAGTGAAATGAACCAATACACACCTATGCAAATCAGAGGAAATTAAAACATTGTTTATCTGGAGACAAGGAAAAGGCAATCTAATTAAACGTTGTTTTTGAAATCCAATTATGTATTTGCATAGATGTCTGAATGAAGGGATGGAGTAATATAAAATTAGCAGAAAGTTTTGTGTTTGTGTTTCTAAATCAACCACCATAGTAACCTCCGGCATCTTTCTCTTTCAACACACTGCAACTACTAAGCAGCCTTTTGCGTGTTCAGACCCAGAAACCTCCCCCCTAAATAAATTCACACTTGACTCACACTTGGTTTTTGGCAGAATTTAGGCCACAACTTTATTGATTACAGAAAGTGAGTGGTTGCATAGGCTCTGGTTCAACTAGCTCCCTGCCATGCAGGTAGCGCTGACTCAGGGCACCAGCATAGGTCAGCCAAGGGTGAACACCTGGATAAGCGGAAAGCCGGGAACAGGCAATCTCCGCCACCCAAATGCCCCCCTGTACTCAGGCACGGGCACAACCCCCTCTCAGGGGTTGACCAAACCATCGAGTCCCTGGATTCTTTTAATGGAATACCCTTCCCTTAGGGATGGTGAGAGCATTCTCCCATCCTTATCACATGAACCAGAGCCTATCCGCAACCTTACAAGTTGTGATGATTTGCTACGCAGCAGGCAAACCCCAAATGGCAACAGCCAATCAGCCAGGTGGGGAAAATTCCTGCCGTGCCCCTGTCCCAACAACAGATGACACCCGACGGCATAGCAAGGTCAAGAGTAAAGCCCTAAAAGTAGGGAGAGGGGGGCGGGTGTTCCGAATGCACACACTGAAAGAGGAAGCTCTGGGTCACGTGCATGGGCATAAATAGGTCCCTCGAACCGTTTGAACTGCATCCCATTGGCCAGATTTCACCCAGCTACGAGGGACCTACCAATTGAGTGTTGTGGCTGACCAATCGTACCCACCCACAACACAGGGTGTCGGTTTCCAGGTCTCACCGCAATACGTGCCCTCTTTAAGGGAGGACCCGATTTCACCTTCTGCCTAGCCCTTTCTATTCTGCAGACCCTTTCATGCCCCGTTTTCATCTTCAACCCCATTCCCATGCCATGCCTCCTACACCCTCCTTTTTAATAACCCCCTTTACACCTTCCTCCCTCCCCCTCCTTTTCTCAACTCTCCCTTGCACACGGGCCATCCCATTTCCTCACCCTCACTTGGCATGGTTTTGGAGTCCCTCTTCTGCACATTACCAGGTGCCTTAGTAGAGGTCATTGAGCCCAGGTTTCCATAGCCGCCACCCACCATGAACCACCACTGGCAGCAACAGCAGCAAGTACGTTCTATGTTTAAGATAATATTTTATTCTCTTGCTACTTATGCTGTTTTAAATGTGTATTCTATATTTGACCTCCTTTAGTAATGTTTTGTTTTGAAATCTTTAAGATGACATATTTTCTTGTTAATTATCTTGCTTTGAGTGCATTTCTTCTGTAATGTTTGGAATGTTTTATTTGATCTTTTAATGTAGGTTGCAAACTGATTTGGCATTCCCTCCAAGTGTTATAGAAATTAAATGAATAATAATAATAATAATAATAATAGTAACAATATCTGGATATGCTGAGAATTGGGATGCTTTGCAAGCACAACCTGTGCTCTTCCAATGAGTGACAACCCTGCCCCAATAAACAGTTTTATTTTACTACCTGACATGTATTTAAGAACAGATAAAAGGCCTGCATTTGCCGAAAGGAGAAGTTTCATGGTTTTTCTCAGACGGTGATATATTTAACCCCCAGTTAGAGTTTGTTTCACTTTCCTTGGCAACTTGTTAGTCTGTTAGGATAGACATTTGCTAAGTTGCAGAGAAAATAATGAGACACAATAACAAATATTGGCAGACTGCATAAGAGATCCCATAGCAGAGCCGATAAGCAGCTCTGCATCTTTTGATACGGGAGCTTTGAAGTCTTCACTCATCCCTGGCCTAGAGCTTTTAAATGTCAAAACAGAAGCAATTGGTATATGTGCAGAGGAAAGGGGTGAGCACTAATTTCTTAGAAAACAGAAAGAAAAAGAAGGAATTTGGCATATGACAGTTTAGAGAAATTGTGTCTACTAGAGGGGGAAAGAGTTACCCAACTACAGTACTGGCTGAAACAGAATGCTACAGTTAGGCAGTAATATATAGTTACACTTTCCTGGGAGAAAGTCCCATTCAACTCAGTGGGGCTCACTTCTTGAGTAGGCATGTATAGATAGGACTTTGCTGGTAGCCTAAAATATTCAGGCATATGTATATATTCTCTGTCTATTCCCTATCTATTTGACCATGGCCAGGTACAATTTCAAAAGTTTTCTATTTATCTAGATTTTTGGGATGGAACTGATGACTTTATTGACTCTATTGTATTGCTGTTTATTCTGTTTTTTATTTAGGGATGATGAGGATGTTTTATTGGAATTTGGTATGGTGCTCCCATTGGTAGGATGGATGGGATGGCTGGATAAATATACAAACACATGGAGGGTAATGAGGGGTGTGTGGAGAAATTCCATAGCACATTTCAAGTATAAGCTGCAGGGAAATGGAATGTGCAGTCAGGGGTTTCCAACTTTGCAAAGAGTTCCTTGTAATCTTGCTGACCAAGTGCAGAACCAGTCCAATACATTTTGCTACCTTGAATGAAGGCTCAGATGACCACTTCCCTCAATTCCACTTGCAGAAGCCCACAAGACTGGCAGCTGCCGCTTCCATCTCATGCTTAGCCTCAGTATATGAACAAATAAGCATGGTCTGTGTCGGCTGTTATGGCTGTGTTGATCAGTTCTGTGCAAGAGGCTGGATAGCTCAGTTTGTAGAGCATGAGACTCTTAATCCCAAGATTATGGGTTTGAGCCCCACATTAGGTGAAAGATTTCTGCAGTGCAGGGGGTTGGACTAGATGATCCTTGTGGACCCTTCCGACTCTACAGTTCTATGATTTTATGATTCTGTGAAGAGTTTAGTGGGAGACCTACTTCCTATGAATGTTTTCCATTCTTGGGCTTCATTTCCATGGACCTTACAGCTCACCGAGACACCTTATGAACCAATTTCTCCCCCTTTTACACATCATGTTACATAAAGGCCCATTCTAGTTTGTCTCTTTAGTTGTCTATTTCTTCCTGAGGAATCCAGTCGTACAGCAATAAAATCATGTGACTAGAGGGAGTCCCACAAAAATCCATTTAGTCTCATTACAATATTACATCACAATATTGTACTGAGTTTTTGGGTGCCGGACACTCTAAATCCCTGGGTTGAGTTGGAATTTAATTAAGGCTTGGGGTGTCAAAAACTAACTAAGCTAGGCTAGTCTCCCATGTGAGGTGATAGCTAGACCATGTGTATTGCGCTGTATGCTAAACAATGCTAATCCTCCAGAATCAGCATGTGTTAAAGGCAAATTAAGCCAAGCTGACCTCTTTTCTGGGATGATAGCCTGGGAAAGGGACATTAAGAAGAACAAAAAGGGAAATTTGCATGAGGTGGCAAAGAGTTGGGGCCCCTTTCACTCTACAGATGAAGCCAAAGCTTAGGGAAGCTTAGAGACAGGAGTGATGTAACTAGGTAGTGAGCTGGAGAGATAGTTAGAGTGCACAGTGGCTGACGTGTGTCTGAATCAAGGGCTGCAACTATGGGAGAAACAATACCCTCTCAGAGTGCAATGCTTGGGAACCCCTCTGTCGTAGGCTAAGGTCGTATATATGTATAAATAAACTGTTTAACATAAAGACACCACAGTCTCTGCTGTGCCTCATTTTCCAAAAGGAAAATGGACCCTGGGTAGGCATGCCTGGAAATCTGGAAAATCTTGCACTGCTCGAAGATTGGGGTGGTGCGTAATAATACATAATTCCTAGCTAACACCATATCTTCCTCTTACACAGCCTCATATTTCCAACAAACAAGGATATTTAAGTGCAGTCGATCGAGTATTTTACTGATGCCTCATTACTTGCTTCCCAGTGGTCTCTGTAGATCGGGCCAGCCAAGCAATTTTGTCTCCCCGCCACACCGACAACCTCACCAGTTTTGACAGCCTTAATGGGGTTTCCAGTTTTCAGACTGGCAATGTCTCTCCTCATTGAATCAGTTGAGGAGTTGGGGTGGGGACTCGAGGCGTATGTCAGGGTGTGATGTGGTCACATGCCATGTTGGCCCACAGCCTTGTGAGGGTCAACCAGTGATAATATGTGAGAGGCAGCAAGGCCAACAAAGTTTAGCTATCTCTCCTTACACCAAATTTCTTGCCAACATCTTGGTGTTTTGAGCAGATTCTCAGCATTACTATTTTGATGTATGGCGACTGTTTTTCAAGGCCCAGAGAGTTTCCAGACTTCAGCCAGTGGGCCTGGGGAAGGAATTTTAATCCTTCCTTTCTACCTGTGACAAAACTGATACCATGGATCAGACCGATACCCAGTTGCTATTCCTTCCAATGCTTTAATACCTTTGCTTAGGAAGTTTAGATTTGCCTCCAGCATTGTATGATTCTGATGTCAATAGCATAAATATTTTATGACTCCAATCACTTCTGTTAGAAGACCGTACTCTGAAGTAACCTAATTTAACTTTATAATATTAGGCACTGTGGGCTAACTTGTTTGAACTGTACCTAGTTGAAAATTGATAGGCACTTCCACGCCACCATAAAGAAATATGACTACAACTGATTTCACAGAACGAATTATTTTACGGTGTGATCTGGAGGGTAAGAGGGATTACATGGACAATTTATATTTATATGTGATGGAAATAGCTAGCTAATGCAAAATTTACTGCCACTATAAAGCTCTTGGCTTGGAAGATGGCTACATTCAATTATGCTCAGCGCATTCTTTCCCATCAGATGTCAATTATGTTAACTAATGTCCATGTTTTGAATTTATATATGATTCAAAGCTCCACAAGGGCAGGCCTGACAACCCTATTCTCAGGCAGGGTCAGGGTCAATGAGCTTCCAGATCTCTAATTTGAGGGTACAACTGTTCTAGGGTGATGTATGCAGAGAGCCAAGTGCTGCTCAAAATAAGTAGCCAGATGGAATCTACTGAGAAAGGGAAGGCTGGAAGACCAAGGCTCCTATAGCCAACCTGCTTATTGAACATTCTTCCTAATTGGCTGACACACAGCTTACATGGTAGCTAGACTAAGGGCTTGTCTACACTTCCACTTGTCCCACCAATTTCCCCTGGGAAAATCTCTTTAGCACGGGTTTTCTGCGGATTGACGTTTGCTCTCACTCTGTGGTAAAAAGCGGGTTTTCCTGAGGGAAGTGCTGAGGCAAATGGAGGACCAGTCTGACCCATGGTCTTTAGGTGTGGGACAAGTGTGGCGAGCCCTATTTATTGAACGTTCATTCTGATGTGTTTACCAGGCAGTAACACAACAATGTGCCTTTATCCTGATTTGCTTGTCAGACATTTACATGTCTTTCCCTTATTCATTCATTCATTCATTCATTCATTCATCCCACACTTTTCATTTCATTTCTCCATCACTTTCCTAATGGATTTATTGTGCTTCAGTGACAGGGCACTTCATTCTGCCTTAATTGCACACACCTTAAATTCCCGCTCTGTGAATCTTTGCCATGAGATAGTGATTGCCTGGAGGCACCCAAAAGCCAAAGGAACGCATGAGGCAAGGAAGAACAACAAAATATGGGATGGGAAAGTGCCATGAATGAGCATGGTGCTTTTGCTCAGACTGAATGAAGCTGATGACAGACCTCCTCATTCCTGGACTGAATGAGTAAGAAGTACATTCCCAACATTAAGATCCAGATCGCATCCCTCAGTTAAACCAACACCCATCTGAGAGTTCACAGGCATCTCATATTCCAAGGTATACTTTCACTATAGTTCCATTTAGTTCATGTGACAATGAGCTACTGATAGACCTACCCTCCATAATTTTGTCTAATCTAGCCTTTCCTGTATGGTGTTGGATTACAGTTCCCATCATCCCTATCGCTTGGCCATGCTGGATGTGGCTTTGAATGGGGATTAGACAAATTAAAGGAAGAAAATGCTATCAGTGGCCACTAGTCCTGATAGCTACATTATCATCAGTGTCAGAGGTGACCCTGAATACTTGTTGTTGCAGATCACAAGCAGCAGGGTGCTGTTGTGCTCACGTCCTGCTTGTGGATTTTCCATGGGTAGCTGGTCTTAAAAAGCAGAGACATCACCTTGCCAACAAAAGTCCAAAGTGAGAGCTGGACCATCAAGAAGGCTGATCGCCGAAGAATTGATGCTTTTGAATTATGGTGCTGGAGGAGACTCTTGAGAGTCCCATGGACTGCAAGAAGATCAAACGTATCCATTCTGAAGGAAATCAGCCCTGAGTGCTCACTGGAAGGACAGATCGTGAAGTTGAGGCTCCAATACTTTGGCCACCTCATGAGAAGACTCCCTGGAAAAGACCCTGATGTTGGGAAAGATGGAGGGCACAAGGAGAAGGGGACGACAGAGGACGAGATGGCTGGATAGTGTTTGCAAAGCTACCAGCATGAGATTGACCAAACTGCGGGAGGCAAAGGAAGACAGAAGTGCCTGGCGTGCTCTGGTCCATGGGGTCACGAAGAGTCGGACACGACTAAATGACTAAACAACAACAACAACAGCTGGTTGGCCACTTTGAAAACAAAACGTTGGATTAAGTAGGCCCTTTCTCTGATGTAGCTGGACTTTTCTTATGTTCTTAAAGTGGGAACAAAGCCTCCTAATCATTATTCATATGAGCAAAGGGTTTATTAACATATACTGCAATGCCAGGAAGCAATTGTCATGGAACGTTCTGACGAACCAATGGCAATATATTTTTGGAACCTTGGGTTCTTTAAGGAAAGTTTGACTCATTCCCCTTGTTCAAGTTAATTGCCGCAACGTCCTGAACAATGAAGGCATTTTAAATAGATGATACTGATGGGCAATTTAAAAACACAGGTTTGGCCACAAAGGGAAAACCCTCATTGTAAGAGCTCTTTGCTTTATGTTCCTAGCAATGAAAAGAGTTCAAAGAATCACTCTTCTTAGTGATTTCTTTTTGCAAAAGTCCAGTGAAGGCTCACACAATGTTATGGCTTTGTTGAAATGAAGTCAGAGATGGTGAACCTGTGGCTCTCCACTTGCTGTTGAACCACAACTCCCATCTTCTTGGACCCCTGGCCATGCTGACTGGGGCTGAGGGAAGGGGAACACAACCCACTGCTAGCTTACTTGCCTTTCTGAGGCAGGAGCAACAGAAGAAGAGGAAGAAGAAGAGTTTGGATTTGTTATCCCGCTTTATCACTACCCTAAGGAGTCTCAAAGTGGCTAACAATCTCCTTTCCTTTCCCCCCAACAAACACTCTGTGAGGTGAGTGAGGCTGAGAGACTTCAGAGAAGTGTGACTTGCCCAAGGTCACCCAGCAGCTGCATGTGGAGGAGCGGGGAAGCGAACCCGGTTCACCAGATTACAAGTCTACCGCTCTTAACCACTACACCACACTGGCTCTATGCCTGCCCACGTTTGAATGACTTCTGATTCCTACCCTCTTAGTTAAATCCACTGGTGCAAGGGTGGGGGATCTGTTGCTCACCCCCCTCCTTTGTTGCTGGACTGCAACACTACCATCAGCCCCACTTGGCACATTCAATAGTTGGGGATCTATCAACAAACCTTCTAAAACCTTTCACCTAGTTGGTGGCTGTCATAGAAATGAATTGATCATATGTAATTGTAGTTGTTTTAAGCTGTTTTTATATTTAACTTTTTAAATATACCGTATTTTTTGCTCTATAAGACTCACTTTTTCCCTCCTAAAAAGTAAGAGGAAATGTGTGTGCGTCTTATGGAGCGAATGCAGGCTGCACAGCTGTCA